TCCTCACACATTGACCGGAATAATCAGTCGAGTTCCGATCAAACCCTGGCAAGCAATTGCAGAACGGCAAAGCATTCTCATTGCAGCTACCAAATGCTCCACAAAAAGCATAAACCTCACACTGCTGTCTAGGTTGTGACCAAAACACATTCCATTGGTTGCTGCTCTCCAACCATGACAGCTGCTTAACCTGTCCTGAAATATCCATAATAAACCTAGATATGATGGAAGAATCATAGAGAGAATAAATGAAATAGCTTTCATTTGCATTGGAAACATAGCTGAAATTGTAGAGGTAATTCAATCTCATATCAGGAACCAAGCTGAAGATCTTTCCATCCCAGGGTCCAGTATTCCAGTACTGTTCAGACTTGTTCCACAGTATGTAATACGCATTGGTGCCATTAGGGTCAATTTCAAGGGAGAAGAGCCCTGGAGCAGGATCGTCTGAATTCTTCCATGAAGTAAGAAGCTGGCTTCGATTAGTCTTCTTGTTCATTCCGAACTTCATACCAGGAAGCCAAGTATGAGCGGGAAAGTTAAAACTTTCCCATAAATTGGTGGTTGAATTAGGCCTATTTCTCAAAACCAAATTCCCATCATCCCTAAGAACTGCTTCTACTGAACTAGACCCGGCCGCGCTGATATATGTGGACCAAATTGGAACTTGGGATTCATCGAAAAGAACCAAATTTCCATCAGAAATCCTCAAAACCGAAGAATTTGCATCTCGGACAGGCTTCTCTCTATTTGCAACCCAGACTACGGTCCTTTTAGACACTTTCTTGTACCATATGCCTATGTAGTGGTTGGGGGAGTTACCCGGTTTGAAGAAACCCAGTTCGAAGACACCACCGCTAGAGACAATGGTCTGGTCACCAGAGAGAGACTGGTTGCCGGAAATGGTATCAGTTCCGGAGGAGACATGGGAGTTGAGAGAGAAGCTGATGAAGAAGAGTATACAGAGCACCCACCATGGATAGGTCTTGCCTTCCATGGCTGGAAAAAATATCAATATATAATTAGCAAGGGAAATTTGGATGAACAGGAATCTGAAAACAAGATCAAAATAAAGAAAAAGGGGTATCAGACTCTCAATTCACTAGGCAAATCATGTCCTGATTCATCCGACCTGAATATCAAGCTTTTTGGTGACTGGTGAGACGTTTTTAACGAACGGAGTCAACCAATCGTATTTTTTGGTGTGAGAGTGAAACGTTCTTAACAAATAACGAAGGTAAGTTGACAAGTATTTTCTGGCGTTAGACTTGGACGTTTTGAACGAGTAAAGTCTAGAATGTCGACCGTTTGAGAAAGTCTAGAACATCACCCATATACAACGTTTTGACGGGGTCCTCCGGATCAATGAAAAAACAGCATGTCAGCTTTATATTAACATGTCAGGTTGCTGACTAATTGTATAATGGAGATCGCATTTAATGAAGAACTAAAACCTTTTTTTTTTTTTTTTGAAAATAGGTAATGGAAATGAAGAACTAAAACCTAAGTTAAAGTTATTAACGAAAAACTCATGAGTCTTCCCGCCGGCCAAATATAGTATTATTCTTAACGAAAATAATTAGTGTATAATATAAT